AAATGCAGAATAAATTTTTTCCAAACAGGAAAATAGGATTTGGTTTTTCAAAATATTAGATTTGAAAATTATTTCGAGTTCGTGTTTGTCAAGACATGATTTATCGTTTTAAAAACAACTATTTCTATTCATTTCTATGTTTACTGATACTACTGCATATTTAAAAAACGTCGAAAATTATCAAACTTTAAAGCAAAAATAACGCTTGAAAAAATGAAATGTCATAAAATAACGAAAGTTTACACATCCGTAACTCAATGGGCAAAATTTTTAACAGAAAATATAATCTTTTCATGTTTTCTTAAACCTTGTCATTCGTGAAGTCACCTGTACATTATGTAATCTTGATGATGATTATCGTACCTTTTTATAAACCATATCTTCATCAAGTGCATACTATTGTCAAATTAAATTTTTCTTAGAAACAAAGCCTCAGATAAAAAAAATTTATTCTCTACTTTAACATCCTTTTTCATAAGGAAATACCCCCACATAGTATCATGAATTTGTTCCCCCTCTGTATATATAATAGACAGACTTTGCTTAAGAAATGCATTAACAACTATTATATGATACAAAATAATTTTAGTATCATTTGAAAATTAAATACGAAAATAAGTTCGTTTTAATTATTAGTAATAAAACATAGTTTAACAGCAACAAAAATCAGATACAATACAATATGAAAAGATAAGAACATTAGTTCATCATTGCTGTATATATGTCACTGTAAGATAACAGGGATTCCATAAATATTAAAAACCTGAAGAAAGGGGCCACTTGAGTAATTGAAAATAAGTAAAAAAAATACTTTCTTATTTACTGATTATTTAAAACAACGTTTATGTTAGGCTCAATAAATAATTTTCTAACAAAATAATGATGTAAATAAGATTGTTTCTACCGAATTCATGTACGAAACAAATCAAGAAATTTGTAAGCATATATTTTACATAAAATTCCATTTTAGTAATATGTTTTCGTAGTATTACAAATTGCATTGTGAATGCAAATTACAAAATTTCTTTTAACCCATTGATGACTATAACGATGATGACTACTTTTGAAGAGTGTACTGGCGCGCTTATAGTTTGACGGGGTTAATAAGAATATGATATTTGATATACATACTTACATACACCACATATACGTATACAAGTATTTCAAAGTTACATCAAATTAATGCTATCTTATGAAAATTTTGTTTTTAATAATGCAAACATTTTTATTATAATAACCGAATATAATTATATTACATAAGTACAATTTAAATGACAAATTATAATAATTAAAACCTTAAATTTCATCTATTTTAGAATTAGATGACATATTTTATTATATTGTTTCCATGTATGTACAGTATGACATAAGTATAAGAATGATCTATTTTATAAAATTTAGATGTTTATCACTTATTATGAAAATTGGAACAATATATGCTATATCTGAATGTAAGATTTCAATGATGTATTAATTTTAGTGTTACATATAATTATAAAACAACTTTTACATTCAATTATAAAACAACTTTTACAATCATAGATTGTGATACTCTTTCAATTATTTCTATAGTAATAACAACACAAGCTATAATAATTCGTTCCATTATGTCTTTTGGACTGATAAGTTACTGTTGGTAAACGCTGAATGTCTTGAATTACTATTTTGTTATTCTATCACCTTTTTGGTATTCAATGCATTTAAACAGCTGCTACAAAATATAGTAGAAAAAAATATGTTTGCCTGCAAAAAATTACCGGTGACCAAAAATTCGAAAAAAGATAGCCATGGAAAGAATTTTTTCTTGCACCATGTTCCTTCTTTAAAACTATCCAGAATTTGTTTTAAACATTTTTCGGTATTATTAAAAACAAAATAAATATTTACGTGTTCGCGGTTTGCCGGGTACTGTGTGTATGCGTGTTACACAATTAAATTTTACACATTTATTAATACCAAGTTTCTTTTACCATGTATATTATATATGCAATATTTTGTTGTAAATTAAAACTAAAATAAAGTTGTTTTATTGTTATTATGTATTTAATTATTATTACACAGAGTATGTTATTCAAAAACATTCAATTGTTTGATAAAAGAATAATACAATAAAATTTTATTTTT